ATTATCTAACTTAGACTGACCAGTTCTACTTTAACACGTGATTTTCCATAAGCCATCTCAGGAGCAAGTGAAAAATACCATTACTTCTAACCCAGTCACCAAAGGAAAATTCCCTCCTGGCTTTAATTCCAAGGATTGACCTTGCACCAATTGCTCTCTGATGATGCTTATGGGTGGGAGAGTCTGTGACAAACTTACAGTAAAAGGAAATCTTCCCTGCTAGTCTCTTGCAGAGAGAGAAATTTATTCCTGCTGTCTGGAGTTCAGAGCCCACCAGGTCTGTTCTGTTTCAGGCACAAGATCACCCTTGATGAGCTAACAGGGGACAGCCCTTCCTGCCTTAATGATGTGCTCCAGGAGCCAGCCAGTCCTTGTGAGGAGACAGTGGTGATCTGAGGCCCTTGCACACAACAGCTGCTTGGCTCCACCAGAGGGGCACCTTTGTGTCTGCCAGGCACGAGCACTGCCTCCCCACTATCTTTGTGTCACCTTCTGCTGCCTGCAGGAAAGAGGCAAAACAACTGCTGCTTTGTTTTTTTCCTCAGGGAATTGTGATAGTCCCTTATATAAGCAGAGGAAAAAGGACATTCCTTTCACAAAAGTATAAATATTCAGTGAGTGACAACACCAAGATCTGAGGGTGCAGGCACACCTAAGAAGGATGAGTTTCTCCAAGTCATCCCCAGCCTTACTGTGCAGGCTTCTATTTTACAGCTTAAGCACAGGCTTCCACTGAGACAGATGAGACAAGGAGAAACTTTGAGGCTGGAGTCAGCACACCTCCCCCTCCTCTCTCCTGCATGCAGAGATATGCTCTGCTCCAGTCCCACACTTCTCCTACAGTGTGTTACAGAAGAACTGGGATGTGAGTTGCTGAGAAAGCAGATGGGAGTCTAAATCAAAGCCAGCGAGTGTGTGAGTCATGACAGACAGATTGTGAGCTGGGGGAGATGAAGCTGGAACAAAAAATGAAGCACATGGAGAGGCCTGGGGAGTGAAACACTGGCTAACCTGGAAAGCTTCCTGAGGCTCATCACTTGAGATTGCAGGAGAACACACGCGTGCCCACACATGTGGAACACACAGGTTCCTCTCCACTCCTGTTGCCTTGAGCTGTCCCTGGCTTACTGCGAGGAGCAGGATTGCTCTCTGGGGGGAGCTGAAAGGTGGCTGTCACTGCTGCTCTTTGTGGACACTACTCAAGATCCATTCCAGGTATTGCCTCCACACATGGAACAGAAGCAGCATCCATCTGCACCATTTTCTCACCTTTACTCATACATGAAAATGTGTAAGGAGCCAGGATGGGACAAAAAACACTCTGCAAGGATGGTTTGCAAAGGCTGAAGTTGTTTCCATTTCCATCCTATCAATAAAATCTTCACTGAGCTGATGCCAAGTACATTAATAGGTGCAAAATGTGCAGTAAAATAATACTAAGCCTACCTTTGTCAAGGGAACTTTAGGCTTGTGCACTCTCAGGCTATCCCACTACACCCCCTCAAAGTTTAAGCTTGAAACCTTTGTCCAGCAAACAGTCACACTGATCTATCACTCTAAAGCCTGCATCTCCCATCCTATCCAAACAGTACAGATTTGATAAGCTACAGGGAAAAACCTTTTTTTCTCAACCCAAAATATCCCCAGAATTTGTATCAGCTAAGAGGTCTTCCCATCCAGAAATTCACATCTAGCAAAAAACTGAACTCTTCCTTCACACGGCACTTAAGGGTGAAAGCAGAGTCTTGTTTTTAAATGCATCAATATGAAGAAAATGGGGAAGACTTAAGGTTGGTAAGACAACAAGTGGGGCTTTAGGTAGGTGTGACACAGCTAAGAGACTTGGCCAGGAGCCAAATAAAGGAGAAACACATGGGGATGAACTACTGAACAACGAGAAAGATTTGCCTCAAAAAAGTAACATTTTTGATTGCCATTTGAGATTAAAGAAATTCTAGTTTTTTAAGCCTATGGACAAAAACAATTAGTAGAGGCAGAAACAGAGAGACAGATAGAGTCCATAAAAACAACATCCCCTTCTGCCCAGTTATGCAGATGCTGTATAGAAGTGTGTGTTTTGCGGCCTAAGAGTAAAAGACCAGCAAAAACCAGCTCAGCAAGAGAAAATCCCTCTTTACCAAATTAGTCCAAACCCAGGAAGGGTATAATTAGAAACACACTATTAAAAATACAGTCACAGCAAGCACTAAGTTGCTCATTGCCACATAAGCAGATACCTGGCACAGCTCTTATAAAAATATAATCAACACTAGAGACCAATAATTAAAATTTACATATAAAAGCCATGCCTGAGCATTAGGGTTAGGGTCTTAAGATGTGATGCAAAACTTTTTAATGCTGTGTTTGTGGGAGACAAGCTTCAACTGGTCCTGACTGTGAGCCACAGGCTGTTCTTGTGTGTTGTCCCAGCCACTGTACAGACAAGCCTGTGCACGTGCACTCAGGCACACACACAACATCACCTCTGTCAAATCACGGTTGTGCAGTAGCAGAAAACTCTTCAACTCAGTTTCCTGTGCCTTGAGGCACATCCCTCCTTCCCTCAGCTTGCTGGATGGCACCAAGTCCCAGTGCAGCTTCACTGCAAGACAAACAAGAGTGCTGTGGACACTGCTGGGATTGGTGTGATGGCTACATGAGGTAGAGTCTCACCCAAACCTGTTGCTAGTCCAAGCACTGGACTTTCAAATGAGCATTTGCTCCCATCCCAGCCTTTTCAGTGTGCTGCTAGTGCAAACATCTTGTGCTGTGTAGTAAAACTAGTCACAGAAACATATCTGACTTGAAGAATTGCACCTGATATGGAGGACAATGTCCAGCTGAGGAAAAATCCAATACCACATTCATAAATGAAAAGAATGCAAAGAAATGAAAATGTGAATTGCCTACTTTAGAGGAACAACAAGCTAAGTACTGCTAGTATCTAAACCTTTACTGAATAGCTACTCAGTTGGAAGAACAGAAGGGAAAGCTACAAGGCATACTGAGATAAACTCAGAATTAAAGCCACATAAACTCAAGGTAGAAGCTTTTCAGTTTTTCCCACACAGAAACAAATGCAAAAGACAGTAATGGAAAGTTTATGAGAAACACATTTGAAATGTAAAAAAAAAAAAATCTGCTTTTTTCTCCCCCCTTAAAGTTCCATAGTGCACTTAAGCAAACAGGCTGTGAAAAGAAATGGGAGCCAAGATGGCTGGACTGTGACCAAACATGTCACAGAATCCTATGCTTAACTCAAACTGGCAATTTCTCTGGCACAGAAGATAAGATCTGTCTGAGAACCATGCAGAAAGTACCCTTGCAGCTGGCAAAGTGCAGATCCAGTGAGGTGTACAGCAAGAGTGCTCGTATGCCCTTTTTAGTTACCCTTCTCATTAATCACTTAGAAATAACACATGAGGTATTGTAAAACAGCAATGTGAGAGAAACATATGGCAGGTTTGCCATCTAGTCTAAACAAAGAAATAAGCAGAAAGTGGAGATGAGAGCCTCAGGCAGATAGCATACAATAAGGTTCATGCTGGGGCTAAGCAGCTAAATCCAGAGAAGATGAACAGAATTGAGGGGTAAGCCTAATCTGGTATGATGACAAAAGAGTTCTTTTATATGAAACATTCAGCAGCTGGACAGCATCTTCGCAGCACAATGTGAAATTAAGGAAAAAATATGTTTTTCCAATGCAGAGGTATAACTTCCAGGACCAGAGACATTTTGTTTTCCCAGGGACTCAAGTCTTAAACATATGTGGAATAACTGATTTCATTTGACACACTACATTTCAAAAACAAAGTAATTCAGAGGCCATTTGGAAAAGAAAAAAACCCAACAAAATCCACAACATCAACCACATCAACAACAAAAACCAAAATAAACAAAAACCACACACAAAACCAGGAGAGAGCACAGGGGAGACTTACAAGGATTGACAAAAATAAAATTAAAAAAAAAAAAAAAAACAAAAAAACCAAAAAACAACGAATAAAAACCTAAAGCAGTTAAGTAAGTGTGTCTTATGCAAGTCACAATTAATTCTATGAATGTAGTTATGCAGACATACATACCAAGTGGTGGGTGGCAATCTATTTGGTATCAAAAGCAGGTAAACTGGAAAGAAGCAAATTAAATTCAAATAGAACACAGAAAGCAAAAATCAGTGCAATAGCCCTGGCTGTAAAATATGCTATGCCTTGAGCAGGGCAAGAAACACTGCTTAGCTCCTGGAAGAAATAGAGTCTGAAAAGCACATATATCTTGACAAGGAAATAATACTTTTTATGGCTGGAATTTAGAAGTCTCACATGGCAAACAAACTATGGCAAACAAGCTACTGGATCTACCTCATGTCCTGCATCAGAAGCAGATGACACAACAATGCTGGAAGTGCAGAGATGTTTCCTTCCCTCTGGGTGGACCAATTCCCCAGTCTGCTATGAGGACAGCGAGCTGAGAAGCATTTAAAATTGAAATGTGAACCCAGAGTCGTGCTACCCAATGTCAGTGCCTTTTACAACTGAAGCATCAGACACCTTTCTGTGTCCTAATGGGCTGTTGTGAAATTTCTGTCCAACTCTGAGTCAGATGTGTCTGCATCTCACCAGTTTTGGGACAAATCTTGTATGTATCACCTGGAAAACGCTTATTCAGTAGAACAGGAAAACCCACTCTGTGCTAAAGTTGAGGATTGTAGTGATGTGATGCTTTCTATCCTCAAATCTGGCCTAGGATTCATGTCCTGGTAGTCATAGACACACATCAAATTTTAGCCCAGTATAGTCAAACATGTGATGCTCTTTCTTAATGAGAAATCAGATACTTCCTACTCTGGGGTGCTTCTCCAAGCCACCATGGATCCTTTTCAATGTGCTCCATCAGACTGCCTCCTTGAAACCCACCCCTCTTCCTAGGATCCTCCTTCCTGAGACGCAAATCCCCTGGAACCAGTCCCACAGAAATAAAACACTTCCACCAGCCAGGAGGGCAAGACCACATTCTGTTTAATAACAACTCCATAAAGGACTGTACATGCTATTTTGAGCTACCTCCCCTCCTTTACTGTGGTTGCTGCCACGTACAGGCATGGAGGTGTGTAGTGCCATATAGTTCTCTAAGTCTATATGTAATGTGTGCACATGTATGCAGGTGGTTGCACATGGATGTATTTATATATAGCTCTGTAGAAGTGTTTATCTCGTAAGTCACATTATCAAAACATGCGAAGTATATCCAACAAAAATTTTCAGGCAAAACATGTTTTGGAGCTGGAAGACCAAAGGCAAATCAGACTCATTTTAGTTATTAAGGGCTAGTGTGGGACAATGTAAGGATGAAAGCTTTCAGTAGTGGGTCCCTCTCCCTTTTTGTTTTGCTTGCATTCAGTACCTTCTCCCCACACATCAATGCACCTCTGTAAACACTAGCTGAACAGGATACAGACAATCCCCATGCAGCCTCCCCTCTACAGAAAACACATCCAGGCTTGGGGGGAAGCCCTTGAGAACTGCTTTGCAGCAACCTCCATTGTACCATACACTTATGCTAAAGGAGTTTCAGATACCGAGAATACAACATTTGCAGACCCGAGCCTTTAGTTATTTTTACACATGCTTCAGGAATCCATCCTGCACGCCACCCTTGAGACTCCCATCCACCACCCTTCTACCTCCCAAATCCTCTGCCTGTACCCACCCACATCTGAAAAGAGCTGAAACAAGAGGAATCTTGTTCCCTGTAAAATTACTTTTGAGTTCCAGTTTTATAGTGCAGGGATTCCCAGAGACCTCCAATCATGCACAACATCCACAAATCAGAGAAGAAAAATTAAAGCCAAACAAGAATATATACCTGCAAAAGAGCTTTTGGCTTGCTACATTGCTCAAGCATGCAGTATCTGGAAAGAAGGGAAATCCACCTACACTTGCCTTATGGGAACATGGCAGAGCTCTGGAAGAGGATTCTTAACCTTGTGGCCTCCAATCCAATCATGACTGGATTTCCATGCCAAATGAAAATGAATCCAGAAGGCCAATGAATCTGGACTACATGCCTTTATCTTATTGGAAGCAAATCTTGATGCACAATCTCATAATGGAGAAAAGCCTTTTTAGATGTTTTTGTCTTGCAAGCATGGACATTTGATCCCTTATGGGAAAGCGAAAACAAGACTAGGTTTCAGAGGGCATTTAAAATGTCCCCAGCTGAAGGAGATGAGGAAGATCCTAGCAGGAGAATTCTTTCCACAGAACACTGCAACCCCTCTCCTCCCAAAAGACAGCAGCTACTACACATCAGTGGGTAGGTCCTGCCCACAGCAGAGGGGTTGGACTTGATGGTCCCTTTCAACCATTCTGTGGTTCTGTGGTATCTGCACTGAAAACATTCCTGAACAAGACTTTACAGTTTCAGCAAACATGCTCTTTCTCAGAATCACAGCCTAACTAAATTTTTCCTCTCCCAACAATGTGTATCTGCACTGGAAAAATACAGCACATATTTCTTTCCTTTTGTGCAGACCAACAATGACAATCATAGAGCTTCTCTTCATTTTCAAGGAAAAAATAACACTTTGGTCTGCCTATGCTGGGGAAAATGTCAGTGCAAGGATGTAAATAGACCCTGATGTTGCAAGCGCAGATCTCCCATGTCCATTTGTTAACATGGTAACCCTCACCCTTATCCCAGTCATTCCACGGAGCTGGCTGTGCTGCCCAGGGAGCATGGTGTCCCCAGGCTCCAGGACATTCTCTGAGACACAGAGACACTGATCTGGCACAGAAGTGCAGCTCTTCTGCTCGTGCACAGGTTCACTACTACTCAGCCTGGGAAAAGCCCAAGGTACGAAAGAGGCACCTGACACTGACTTGACAGCTTGCAACCGTATTTGAGACTGTGCTTTAATGACTGTAGGCTGTCCTACACATACATTTAGTTCGAATAGGCACCATTTTACTCACATTTTCCCTGTTTATTTTTCCTTTCCCTGAGCCATGGCATAGAAATCTTTCCCTGTCAGATTGCTACAGGGGAGGAAAATCAAAGATGAAAGTATTACTTATTTACATTTTTCTAGCTGTAAGCTGCTGATAATCGCTGTATTGGAATTAATTTTTTTTTCTTTCCTTTCTTTTCTTTTTTTCTTTTAGAAAAAGTCAAACAGCTCACTTAAAAGATATGCCAGAGTTGTCTGAACAAGGAACACTGGAAAATCCACCTGGGAGAAATTAGAAGGAAGAGCTTAGACTTTGCCAACATTGCTCTGCTTTTTATAGCATTTAGAGGCAGGTTATCTGAGTCTGCTTCTCCTTTTAGGCAATTATCAATACAACAGTTAAGGCAAACTTAGCTGAATTTAGGTATTTTGGCTCTCCAGTGAGATCAGAACTCACACTAACTTCATTTGGGCAAGGAGTAAGTTCTTATTTTGTGTATTTCTCATACGATTTCCCTGAAGAACAGAACACACTGTGAGCTTTTTTTTGAAGACAACGAAGAAGAAGCTAGCAGGTACCCAAATCCAGGGAGGTCTCTTTCCTATCACTGTCTCAAGAAAAAAGTGTGGTTTGGACTAAGGAGTACCATAAGCTGCAACAATCCTGGACTTACAGCTTGTTTAGCAATTCTGTACCTCAGTCCACTCCGCTGGGAGTCTGCCATGAAGCTTCTTACCTGTTTTGTGTAAACAAAAGACATCAGGCTTTTCTGGACCTTTTTCCAAGCCTTTCCCTCCCTGCCACACACAGTGGTGCACAGGGCTGTGCTGTTGCACACAACCTTGCCTCACCACAACACCTCCCACCTCTGTCAAACAGAGAGATGACTTTCCTTCTCCAGTTCTCCAAGGCTACATTGAACATTTTTCATTGCTGCTGTACACAGTACAGCAGGCACAGGCTCTGCCTAGGTATGAAGTACTCTTCTGTATCTCACATTGGACTGGAACTGGCCTGAAAATAGGGATAAATATCCCTTCCAACAGCTATGCTTCACTCTTAAACAAGTCTCCCCTCTTGCAATTACGGGATAAGACTTGTCAGTATCTTTAGCTGCCATGGAGTTTGATCACTGAGTGCATACACGATTTGTGCATGTTAATTTTATTAATTTCATGCATATATCAAGTTACTCATGTCCTCCTGCCCAGTTTCCAGGGTTTACTTCAAAGGAGCCTGTGGAAGGGAACAGTGAGGGAAACAACAGGGCATAAATAACAAAGACCAAATCAAGTAAGAGCATACTAACAATTCCAAGGAAAACACTAAGGAAGAAAATGGGGAATAATTTCCTTCTTGGTACCCCAGTGGGTCTTATTCTTTTCAGACAGACATATCACAATCAGCTTATGCCAATTCAAGTTGCATCTGCAACCAGTTTTCCACATGACCATCTACACATTTCACCAGCCCTCAGTGATGCCTGCCTCACCAAGAGAAGCAATATGAAGAGTTCACCTCACTGAAACCTTTATTTAGGTAGGGGACTGGGTTAGTTTTCAATGGGGCCAGTTCCTGAGCAGCCAAATGAGTGTTAGTGCTGGTGCTTTTTAGGCAGTAGAAGTACAGAGCTGGTGGTGGTGGTGGAAGAGAGGAGGCAGGACAGCTCCTTTGAGCAGCTTAGACTCATTGTGAAGATGCCGTTTCAAAGTGCTTTTCCCAGTTTCTCCAACCTGACATAAAAGAAGGCCAGCTGCTGAGAACAGCACTCTCTCTCCCTCTGCTCACAGCTCTTCTATCTTCACTTTTATAGCAAGGTAAAAGTCCCTGGCTTGGTGTGGGCCAGCTGAGCATCAGCGTTTGCCCAAGGGCTGTGGGAGGAGAGCATTGTCAGAGCAGAGCTCCCCTTCCTTCAAAGCAGCTCACCACTGGATCAGCTTAGAAGCATGGCTGAACTTGCTCTCTGCAGCGAGCCTGTCCTGAAAAGTGATGTTACCATTTTTTAAGGGGAAAAAGCAAGTGGATGACTTGTCAGCAGCTCTCCAAAAGAGGATGATGATTTAGAGGCACAGAAACTGAAAGAAGCAGATAAACTTCTCTGTCCCAGAGCCTGAGGTAATGGAATTGAAAAGAACCCGGAGGGCTCGTAAAGAAAGCTTCAGATTTATATAAAAGAAAAGCTCATGAAAGGGTATAACTAATCAGGTATGAGCAATCATGGGAGAAGGAACAAGAGAGAATTTTCTTCCAGTAGAAGATTTTAAATTAGGGTCACTTCTGGTTAAGCCTTATTTCATGTATAGCACAATAATTTCAACAAGTTCCTGCTGAAGACAAAGGCTTGGAGGAAAGATGGGAATCTTCTATCTCCACTACTTCAAGAATATCTAAAATTTTCTGTAGTGCAGCTTTGCTTCATGTGTTTGTGGCAAACAGCAGAGCTCAGTTTCTTAGTAACTGCAGATCAGGGATACTGAGCTCACCTTTCCTTCTTATTTACAGCCTCACAAACACAATTTGGGCTCTGACTGTTTGGCTGGACTCTCTCCAACTCATCCCTCCTCACCAGGATAAAGGGACTGCAGGCCAAATTTCGCTCACAGAGCACCTGTGCCTCCCATATGCTTGGATAGGTGTATCTATATAATAACAGCTTTTCTGGGAAATGTACAGGAGGTTCCAGGTCTCTCTCTCTGGTACTGGATACACACAGGCAGCAGGCCTGTTATGTAAGAAAGGACCAGATTACACAAACAATTTTGCACTTTCAAAGAGATTCAAACTGCCTTTCCAGTTCAGCTCAGGCTGCTCACTCGGGTGGTAAGTGTGAACTGGAAGATCTGCTCTCTCTAGTCAGACTCCTAGCAATTAGCTCTTTTGGACTGTGGAGAGGTATGGAAAATAGCCTTTTTCTTACTTTCAGGAAAAGGCTGAAATTTTATTGTTCACAGAATGTTAAGTCATTTATGAAAAAAAATTACAGAATTTAGTAAGCTGGAAGGTTTTTACAGAGAGTGGTTTTCAAACCAGTCTGCATTCATAGAGAATGAGGCTCTCTACAGGTTTCTAAGACAGCAGGTTATGGTACTATAAAGTAGGGTATAGTTCTTTATCCCAATTCCACAGAGGCTAGAAGAATCTCCAGATTTTCTCTTCCTATTGGACTCCACAGAATTTTCTATATGGTCAATTTTTACACACTTTTCCTTATGTAGGTAACTCCCTGTCACTGCTTTCCATGGAGATAAGGTCTATCTTTTAGACATCAATCAGACATCTTGGTAAATGTACCACATGTCCATCTTAAAGAAAAAGAAGCCCTGGACAAGTTGACCCACTTGTCCCAGCCTGTAAACAACACAAAGGGATGATCAGAAGCTACTCTGAAAGTTACTGTAAACATCCAGATTGGTCCTGGAGAGGCACATGGGAACAAAATGGTTTGGAGAAAGAAACAAACAAGCCACCCAAATCTCCCACAAAGGTACACACCCAACCATTTTTGTTTCCCTAAAGACCTTTTAAAAGAGAAATAGCTTTAAACTTACTCATTTACTCATCTGCTGAAGTGCTCTTGGCACTTGCCCCATCTGCCTTTTCTGGCTAGTGTGATTTCCCAGGCCCTGCTCCACAGCTGGACCCAAGCCAGTTCAGGACAATGAGCTCCCAATGGCCCTGCAAGAACTATAGGAGATCATTTTTATCAAGCCTTGCTGCCCAGGGGAGGTTAGTACCTCAATGTGTAAACATCTTTGAAGAGATATTGAAAGCTCATCACTCAGGAGAAGAGCGACCTCCTTAGAAATGCAGAAGCAAGACCAAGGAAACACATAAAAAAAGATGGGTCGCAAAAACTTTTCTCTCTTACCTACACCAAATTACCAGTGTAACTTTAACATCCCAGAGGTCTTTCCTTTAGAGGTGCAGTGGAGAGGGAAGACAGATCTGCTTGAAGTGGACTTGGCTGGAAAGACCTGGGTATTGAAAAAGGAGTCCCTCTTTTTGCAGCTGCCTGTGTCAGTGGGAAAAAGCTGATCAGGGTGTTCTTCCTGAGAGTCCCATTCCTACTTTTCACAATTCCTGGACATCATTTGCTTTGCTTGCCAGGAGCTGTCTAAACTCTGAGACTTGATGATATTCCTCCAGAGACATTTTGTTCGCCTTAGACATTCTTCCCTGAAAATATGCAGGAACTGAACCTGAAGCAGGAAAGAAGCATGTATCACTCTCCTGTCATCCAAAAAACACACCAAGCCTGAAGAGGAGGCAAAGAAGAGACAAATGTATCATGAATTAAACAGAGCAAATATGAGTCAGAGTAAGTGAGAAAAGAGTTGCTCTTGGAACAGTATGGCAGTGTCCAGGCAAATTCCTTTCTATAGCTCATCAGATCCAGCATCTGATCTACACCCATGCTCTGCTGATGCTTCCTTGCAAGAGGTCTTGCAATTAAAACTCAGCACTTGGGTAATCTCTGCTGGTTCTATTCAGTCCTCCAGCAAAATCAATAACCTTATACAATTTTTGCTTTTGTTGTCCCTGTTTATTTTCCGGTGAGAGCTGGAAGTGAAACAATTTCCTTTCAAAACCTTTCCCTCTCAAAAGGAGGTCTGTGAAAAAATGGCAAGGAATTGCAAGATACCAAATTCCCCCTAATCAGAGAATCATGTTTTTTTAAAACAAAAAAATATATACCCCGTACAAATACGGGAAACTCCTGAAATCAGCTTTCTCCACACCTAAAAAAGAGATGGGAAGGAAAAACAGACAGACCAAGTATTGAGCATTATTTACACTGCTTGGGGGCAGGAAAACAAAAGAAGAAAACATAGGCAGGAAGAAGAAGACAAATAGGAGGAGAAAATTTCCTCTCACCCCTTTTCATCCAGCTATATTTGGCACTGCAGGAGTGGCAGAAATGGGAGAGGTGCAGTATTTCTGTTAAGTCATGACTGGAGTACAGGCCTTTCCCATTACTAACTGCTTTGTTATGAACACTTCTCCAGAATATAAAAAGGTTAAAAAAAAGTGCAAAAACTGAAAACTGTAATGTAAACTAGGTATCTGTGATCTCATAGCTGTATGCACTGTCCCTGGACCTGCTGCCTACTCTCTGGGTCTCCCCATTCTGCTGGCAAGGAAAAGACAGAAGGACACAGCAGCACCACCAAAATGGGCATGTCCTCAAGCCCCCTGCAAGAGTCAGCTTTTTATGACTGTCTCCATAGCTGAAAATGTCCTTTCCACTGGCTTCCAGTGCCCACTGCCAAAAGGACAAACCGCTCTTGCCAGCTCCTGGGAAGGCAGAAATGTCAAAGAAAGAAACAAACAAATGGAAGAGACCGAAGCATGAATATCTGAGAGCAGGGTTAGGTTTGTATCTGCACCCATTTCTCCATGCCACAGCAGAGCCGTGCCCACAGAGCCACTCTGGCAGCACAGGCCGGGTTCTGGGAGCACAGCTCGTACCCATCAACCCTACAGTTTGTATCAAGGTGCTACTGAGGATCTGGTTGCACAGCACATCCTTCATGGCCTGATCCTCTGCATCAGCCACAATCCCAACACTAGTGCAATCTAGATCTGCAAAGCCACAGCTTCATTTAAAACCAGTTTATATTCATATATTCTACGACATAGAAGGGGGCCAAGTCCACAGAGCAATGTCCATTCTGCCAAGATGAATTCTAGCCACAAAGCTGCTCCCTACACCAAGCCTATCTCATCAGCCACATCCCCAGTACCAGAAGAGTTTATATCCACAGCCAAGACTTTATGTTAAAAAGACTTAGAAATTATTTACCAATCCAGATCTCTCCAAGCACATCACATGTTGCCCAGAGCAATGAAAATCCAAAATATGTGTCCATGGGGGAGGGGAAGAAAAGGTTTTTGTGACAATCACTTTGAGATTTTCCTCATTTAAAAAAATAATTAAATGTCAGGAATGGAAGGTGTGTCTGCTTGGAAATATGGGGAGCTGGAGAGAAGAATCCCTGTAATTGCATTCCTTGCCACCCCTCTCTTTGTTCAGCAATGATGAGTACTTCACAGAAAGCATCAGTTGTTTGTTTCTCCCTCTTCCTCATCAAAGGACTGCACCCCAGAGGAGGTGACATCTGAGACTTTGCGGCTCAGTGCAGCATGTTCCATCTCCTCTCGAGGAGACAAAGATTCCAGGTCCCGGCACACTGCATCATCCTCCTCTGGAGAGGGCTTCTTGTTTAGGAGAGGAGCCTTCTCCAGCCTTGGGTTCCCTTCATCCTCAATGTGGTCCTCCATGTACGTGCTGGACTCAGCTCCTCCCCCGCCCTGAGCAGTCTGCAGGGGCCACACGTGGACCAGCCCCGTGCTCTGGATGAAGTTCTGCTCCTGCCGCTGTTGCTGCAGCTGCTGCTGCTGCTGGAGAAAGCTGCTCTGAAGCAATATGCTTTCCTGAAGGTTTGTCTGGGACTCATCAAAATTCTGGCCTAGGTAGGAGCCAGTGGCTGGGGAGGCGATGAGGGACTGGTCACTGGCCTCCCAGGCATCGGAGGAGCCCAAGCAGTACATGCCCTGCGAGACGTAGGAGTGAGGCCAGCTGTCATACTGCGTCTGGGCCATGTGCTCTGCAAGCAAAGGAGGCAAACAACACACAGTTAGACACTCTCCCTAGGTCTGGCTGGCTCATCCTGGTACCCATGTGCCTGAGCATGGCACAGGGTGGGTGAATCCACCTTCAGAGGCAAGGAGGGCAAAGAGAAAACACAGTTCTGGGCAGCTGGCAGGTGACCTCAATACCAACAACTGACTGTAAGAGCTGGCAGCTTTCCACAGTTGTGCTCCAAAAAGGCAAAGGAACTGGGCTTTGGAAACTCTCTGCTAAGATTAGATTCCTTGGACAGCTCCACAAACAAGGGTGACTCTAGCAGATCTGACTGGGGCTACAGAATAAAACAGAGTAGAGCAAAAGAGAGCAACCAAAGCAGGAAGGGGGTGTCTTAAGATTAGCAAGAAGGACTAGAGCTCACCTTGGCTCTCCATCAGCTCCTGATAGTTCTCAGAGTAGTTGCCTGCTGGGTTGTCCTGATTTGAGTTTACACTCATATCCTCACCATCCATGGAGGACCAGGCCATGAGAGTTGCTTCAGAAATAGCAAATTGCTCCATCACCCCTGTGCCAAAGGAGACAGGGAAGGGAGGCAAAGATGCATTAAAGTCTCCACTTCTTGCCATCATCCCTTACCCCATCTTTTGGTCACACTGTCCCACTCTGGTCCTATCTCAGCAACACCCATCACCCACAACTGGCCCTCACCCTCTCCACCTTGCATTCCACTGGCAATATCCCAACCGCCAAAGTCTCTCTCTACTTCAGCCTCTCCTGAGTGCTTTTCTCAAGCTGCCGCACTTTGGAATCTCTCAGGGGCTCCCCTCTGGGGGCACCCCGCCGCCCCACGGCAGGAGGCAGGCGTGGCTACCTGCGAGGAAGCGGGCCTCCTTCTCGCCGTCGCTAAGGTCCGAGTAGGCGTCGGCGTCCTTGCGCGCGCTCTCGTGCGTGTGCTGTTGCTGCTGGCTGTGCGCCTTGCCCCAGCCCTGCCACTCGATCATGTGCGCCACGCGGCCCTGCCCCATGGCCGTCGGCTTCGTCACGTGGTCCTTCATGCTGCGGGATATCCCTAAGGCGCCAGACATTGGGAAACAAGGCAGGGCTATTACACAGCTCCGCTTTCCAACGGGGTTTCACCTCTCTCAGAAGTGGATCTTCTCCCCTCCTGTCCTAACAGGATGCATGGCTAGGGCTGGCTGTCTCCCACCTCTCACTGCATCACTCTCCAGGGGAGTTTCTCCATCTTCCCCTGGACAAACTCTCAGAAGGGGGGGAAAAAGGGGAACCCCAAATATGAAAGACCATTTCCTTCCTTGCCTAGAATCCATTTAGGATAGAGCTGGGCATGAAGGATGAAGCCTGGAAGTGAACAAACTAAGAAACAAAAAAGGGGGTTAAACCCAAGACTGAGGGGAAGCAATTGAAGATGTCTGAGCAGGGGTGAACAGTGAGAAGCCAACAGGAGTAAGACAAATCTGTTCTTTAAAAGGGCAACAACTGTGAGATTGCTGTATTTAGAACCATGGTGTTGGAGACTCCTATAAGGCCATGAAAAGGCAAAAGCCAGAAAGGAGCATTTGTGAGAGTGACAGAGAGATATGGGAAGAGGCCAAAGGCCTGTGGAGAGAAGCTGCCAAGGACAAAGTCAAATTTTGAGGACCTCACCAGAGAAAGATGATTTAGCCAAAGCCCCAATCCCATAAGCATTGGAGTTGCGTTTCAGCTTGGGAAGGATGGAGGTCGTATCTTCCATGGAGAGCTGAAAAGAGAGAGAATATGAAGAAATGATATACAGGAAGGAGAAAAGGAAGGGAACTGAAACGAGAAAACAGTAGGTAGTTGGAAGATGATGAGCAGAAGCAAGCAGTAAGAACGAAAGAGGGAAAGGAAAATGAGAGGCTATTTAACCAGGACTGGATATTGCACAGCACTGGGACTGACTGAGGCAAGGCCAGAGGGAGAGGCAGAAAGAGGCTGTGAGAAGCCTCCTGTTGGCAGCTGCCAGCCCTCCACAGACACGCTGCAGCATTCCCAACTCTTTGTTAGAGATGCAAGACATGGCTGTTGGACAATTCAGGGATCTTGCAGTGGGGAGCTGTCAGTACAATAGGCAAGCCACAGTAAAGTATCATATATGCATAATACTACCAATTTTTTGGTACTTTGATTTTTTTTTCTTCTTATATAGTCTTAATAAAACGATCATGACTACAGCAGTGATGGGTCCTGTTTCAAGCACCTACATCTGTAAAGAAATTTGGTCTACAGCTCTACAGCTCTGCTTAATTTTCTTGACTGCCTTTTCTGTGTTTATCCTCAGTCCCTGAATAACAAGGACAGGGCACTGTTGGGACAGGCAGCCGTCACAAACATCATCACAAAAATAATCTCTCAAGATGAATTCATCAGGCTTCTTCAGAGATGCCAGGCATTGCATATGAGGCTTAACTTTCACAAGGGCTAAATAAACATTGCTTCTGCTCTTCATTTCAACCTCTCTGAAAATCAAGGCCAGAATCTTTCAAACACAAGGATACTCAAAAGTAGTGACTATGACACTGAAAATTTTAAATCCTGACAGAAAACAAGCACTTGGACCTCACAAAAAGTGAATGGAGCAGTAACTGGGCAGTGAAATAACTGGAGGCAAAGGAAGGCATTGTAAAGATCTCACACTGTGTATAACACCAGTCAGTTGCCAAAATATGAGAGGTGAGATTTTATGGAAACTGAGTGTAAATGCAGCAGCTAAGGCATCCTGTAACTGTGGAAGCAGGAACGTGCTGTGTGTGTAACATGAGCTGAAGAAATCAGAAAGCAGAGGAAGAACAGCAAAAAGTGAGAGCACAGCCCTTGTTCCATGAAGCATTTCCTTTGGTGATGAAGCTTGCTGGAGAAAGTCCATCTATGCCCCCACTGGTCACTCCTGCCCGGGTGCTCCTGCTCAGTATCCACCACTTGTTCCAGGAGAGCCTGGGGGCTGGGCTGTGAGCTGCCTCATGGAACCCATCAAAAAAAGAAAGTAAATTGCAGAGGGCTCCCACTACTGCAAGGCTGAAGAGCTGTGACATGAAGGCAGGAATGAATGCGAAGCGAAGGAAATTCATGATCCAGCTTTGGTACCAAAGAAGATCTATGGAATTACACTGGCTAAGAGCTGCCTCATGAAAGAGCTCCATGGATTCTCTATGGGTTGGAAAAGGGGAAACTGCAAGTAAGGAAACTGTCTTCTGCTTTCTTTAAGGAAACATGACCTTGCGTACTTTGCTGTCAGCTAGACATAGGTGCAGTATGGGAAAAGAAAAAAAACAAATTTCTTCTAGACAGTTGCTGCATGCACCATTATTTTCCAACACAATTTGTTTCTGTAATTGATTCTAGGCAAAAGATCTCAAGACCATAAGTGCCCCAATGAAAGAGGTGAGAATTAAAAATTATATTCAATGTCCCACATGCTTCCAAATCACAGGAAAGAAGAAAGCTACAGGTATTTTAAAAGTTTTGAAAGAATCTAGAATTTGAAAACACTTATACTACTCAAAATGGAGCTGCTAATCCTGGCCTTCCAAGTGTACAGAACTATAAAGTTAATTTATGTGAAAATATTTTGTAAGTACCCTTTAAAAAAGTCCAGTAGAATAAATATGCATTATTCCTCTTTCAGGATGCTGTTTCTGCATTAGTGAAAAAGAAAAAAAACTTTTTTCATGGCACAAGTATTAAGAGCAAAAGGAACACATGTAATTAAAATGTTTGCTTTTCATCTGCTTTTAATTGAAGTTAACTGGCACTCTCCATCTACCCTAGGAGACATAAAGAATTCTGTTACTTCTGCGTGCAACTGAAAATGAGGGAGACATTTCTCCCAAACTTCTCCCTGAAGAAGATCCAATGATGCTCTAATCTAGGACTACTATCTTTTAAAATATGCTGGACGGACACCTTTCTTATGCAGCAGTGCCCAGAAATCTCAAAAACAGAACATATGAAATGGCACACATTTGTCCCCAAAAGGATGAAAGCTATTCAACAGCCACCCACAGATCAAAATATCTGCCAGACAGCAAAAGATTCAGAAGCAAACAAAAATCTATCACCATCCTCTGACTCGGAGACAACTCCCAGAATTTCAGCAGCACGAAGGACTTTCAGCCATGTTCTCATTCTGGCCTCTACTGTATCCAACGTCAGACAAACCCTGGTCTTCCTATGACTAGAAATTTGAAAAGGGACTCAGCGCATACTCACATTGATACCATCCCAGGAGAAATCCGTCCGTGTTTGCTAAAGAAAGCAAAGAAAGGCACCACGTCAGTGTAACAAACAACTTGCAAGCAGCCAAGCAACTCCAGTGGTTTGCCACAATCAACAGGCACTACTTTATCTGGTGTGTTCTAAAAACTTGTGTTTTTCAAGATGGTTTCACTCTCTGCTGGTGAATATGGTGCCTGTAAGGGTCATGGTGTTTGACGGTGAAATAGTGAACAGGGTGATAGAGTAGGAAAGAACAAAGCACCTTTTCTCAAGACTCCTCTTAAGTGTGGGTTGCACCACTTTGAGGTTAACACAAGGAGGAGCTACACCACCTTTGTATTTTGAGTGTCCTACAGCAAGCTACTCAATTCTGCTGAAATTATTTTCTTCTGCAGTGTTTTGGCTTGTCCATTGTGACTCACTCGCCCCTTGCGAGCCAGAATCACTTCCCACATCAGCCATCACAGCACCAACTCAGAGTGTGCTTCCTTCAGCTGGGAGGACTCATCTCAACATCCCGGGTTTGGGGATGGAGACGCTCAGGAAAATCTAGATGACTCCTGTTACACCTATGGTAGCCATTCATATAAATCAAAATGTTCACTGAGGTGTGGTTTATGCTCGTTGACTTTTAGATCTGCTTTGATTTGACTGAATTCTCCATACAAGATTGGGCCCAACAATTTCCTGCCAGGACTCCATGAAACTCTTAAGTGTCTTGAAGGTGCTTTCCAAGCCAGCAAGGTACACAAACAAAATAAAAGTACTATATATATGTACATCTATTAACATTTTTCAAGGTTTTGCAAACTGTATATTATTTGTTAAGCTTATTTGTGAACATTATTTGTGATTCTTCAAATATTATGCATTTAAAATAGATTTTATCTTTCTAATCATCATCACTGCATACTCTGCACCTTACAAAGCTGAAAATTCAGGTATCCAAGAATGCAGAAGCTGCAGTAATTCAATGAACCAGCCCTTAAAATACTGCATGGTAAGTTGATTGTCTGTGAGTTATTAATGAATGCATCTCTAAAATTCAAAATGCCGACAAATGTGTTTCTTCAAAAGATTTCATGGCTGTGCTGCAGAAGCTGGGACAGACACAGTGCTGGACATTCCCATGTGAGTCCCTTATTCAAGGAATGCAGACCTACAGGCTTGTCAGAACTGTCACTGTTTTTCTCATGTTGTGTTCCACTCCCGCCATGATTGGTTAAAAAGCAGTTTCATTTGCAAGTTCTTACTCACTATGGATCTTGTGAAGGGAGTGACTCAATTCTGTTCAGAGCAAGCCACCCTGCCCAGGTATGATCCTCAGGAGCTCCCTGGCATTCCAGCCCTCCCACAGATGATGCCTCAGTGATGCACAACACCCATTTCTGAATAGAGAATTCAAACTTTCTCATCGCCTTGGCTCATCAGCTCTGGGCCAGGCACTCACCTCAGTGGAAGGTCGATGGAAGCTGCTGCCATGCAGTGAACTCGTGCTGTCCATATTGATTTGGTCCACATCTTTCAGTCCCTTCCAGTCTACTGCAATCACCTCGTTTCCTGTGGGAACACATCTGGTCAGGCTTCTGAGTGCCTCTACAATTTGTTCTACCAGTCTTAAACCAACTCAGCTAAATAAGCAGGAGAATCATTGAGTTTAAGGCCACAACAGACTTAAATCAGACATTCCATTTGTACTCAGACCACCCGTACCTCATCAACTATTACATTTCTCACAGCTTTCTCCATATGAAGACAAGTCACTTGTGTTTTTCTCAAGCATGATGTATGCTTGGCTAAAGTGCAGATTCATGATGTGTGACTGGGAAAGAATCAATTCCTAAGACATCCCTTTTCAATACTGAACCATCATCCCTGAAAAAGGCATTTCACCATTATGGCTTGAATTGGTTGCACATCAGCTTAGAGATGCTGAAGCCTTTGCTTTGCCACCCTCAGCAAGAAAAAAGACCTTTGTAATACCTGCCATTACACTTCAAATTTTAAATATCAATAATACAAAATACACATGATAAAATTTTATTAAGATTTAAAAATTAAATAATATGAAATGTAAAAAGTGAAACTAAATGCTAAGAAGCACATGTAAGTAGTCAGCCAGGTAACCAGACTGCTCTGTACAGTCAGCAATTTACTTTGTCTTCAGCCTGTGTGAAGCCTCAAATTCTGCTTGAAGTTATTTGCTCCCATGTCATGGAGGAACCATTGTACTGTCCTTAAACCTGAGTCTCCTATAATCTGTCAAGAAATGTAGCTGTCAAAATGATCATCTATTCCTGGGATCAATTCAGCAAGGTCTAATCTGGTTGGAATGAATGTGAATGGTTCCACCTTTATGATCTTCTTTTTTTTTTTTTAGTCTTTATAGCAAATTTCTCCTCCACAGATATATGCAAAGCCCCTTGCTCATTCTAGCAGCTCAGGCACATTTTATAGAGTGCTCATCACTGCACTTCCCCAGTACAAATCCTCTGACAGGTGAGAGATGCTGCAATCCACCCCACACAGGCCTGCAGGGGCCATGGAGGCACTTCAGGGTGGGGAAACCTGAGGCATTCATCACCAAGAATTCAAAATGCAAAAAAACCCCACATTTTGTCCCCTAAAAAGGCTAAACATGGCAATACAAAAAACATCAGAAAGACAACGCTGTTTGCATATGGTGGTGTCCACCACACCTTCACATCTCAAATTTCTGCTGTGCAGGAAGGTCCATTTCTGAGAGGACTAAGGGATATTTTTTCCTTCACATCCAAAGGATGTTTCTGTTCATCAGAACCAAGTGCTTTAATAGCATCCCCCATATGTTCCTAATTAGGCTGAGTAAAGCTGCTGTTCTCTGAGTTGCAGCTCCTTGCAACTCGGGGAACTCAAAAAAAAGAAAAAGGATTCCTGTACTGCATGTTACAAAGGTGAGCACAGAGGTCAGACACAGCCAGACCTCTAGAGAAGGCAGGACATGGCGATGACAAGCATGACAAACACCACCGTTCAGGGCTGTGATCCTCTTAACTGGTTCTCCTGACAAGCACATCCATGTACTGGGCCTCACTGAGCTCTTGCTGACTGCACTGCCACAGACTGGACTGGCAACCTTGAGTCCAGCAAGGCAAGAGAGGGAGATCTGGGGATTTCTGAACTCAAGCAAGAGGAGCAAGGCTTAATGGGCCACTTGTGAGTTGCCTGTTGCCACCATGACTAGGAACTTCTTATATTTGGGGTCCAAGTAAACTGCTAGGGCTAGAAGTCTCTCTTATAGCAAAGGGAAGTCCCAGGCAGAGCTGTGAAAGCCCAGCTGACAGACCCAGGCACCATCAGCTGTGAGGTCTGGCTTAGAATGGAATACATCTGTCCTCAGTCCCCCTGAACAGGGCAGGGGTAGAGGGAAGAAGGAGGGAGCACTGCCAGGAAGAGCAAATCTGGAGAGGAAGGATGGAGGGGTGGACTGTGATCAGGGTGGACTGAGGGTCCAGCAGGGGTCAGTGGGAGGATGAAACTGATGCCAAGAGCAGAGCAGGAGCCTGCCCCTGCACACTGGGATCCAGCTGCCTGTTCCTGTCTGTGCTCCTGCCCTCCACCTGCAACCCTGCACACTAGAAGGGGAGAGCTGGGGTATTCCTGCCCCACAAGACAGGGATGCTGGAGAGGCAGGAAAGATGTCACCTGTCCCGAGCAGCTGTACAGAACCCTTCAGTGCAGATAACAGTGTCACACCTGCTCTATCTCCGTTTACCCCAGGTCTTTTTCCTGCACTGTCAGCTCCTTGTGAGCACAGTGCTGTGGCCCTTCTGTGAGCCTGGAGCCACCCTGGCACACACTGCAAGCAGGCTGCAGCACCATTCTGGGCACACACTGCAAAGACACCTCCGCCCCAGCCAAAGGAAGAGGAGCCTCTTGCTCAGCACATGTCACTTCACAGCCCCAAAGTTCCACAAATGACACACAGCCTTTGCTCTCAATGCTGCAAGCCCACTGATGGTTTTCTTGAAGTGTTAGAATGTGGAAAATATTCACAGAACCCCTCAATGATTTGTGTTGGAAGGGACCTTAAAAATCATCTAGTTTCACCCACCGGACACAGACAAGGATACCTTTCACTACATCAGGTTGCTCAGAGCCACATCCAACCTGGCCTTGAACACTCCCAGGGATGGGACACCCATGGCTTCTCTGAGCAACCTGTGCCAGTGTCTCACCACCCTCAGAGTAAAGAACTTCTTCTTATTATTGAATTTAAACCAACCCTCTCCCATTCTGAAGCCACTTCCCCGGCACCATCCCTCCGTGCCCTTGTAAAGTGTCCCTCTCCAGCTGTCAGGCCCCCTTTAGGTCACAGAGGGTGCTATAAGGTCTCCCAGAAGCTCTGTCTTGTCCAGTATTAATACTATTCTGGCAGATGGTAGCATCAAATGGTTGAAGAATATCAAACAATTATTTGTCTCAAAGTCCAAACCTGTTCTGTAATAGCAGAGCTGAAGACCTACAGAATTTATTTACTACTGCTTCTCTCCAGTTGAAACAGCTCATCAACCCAGTTCAGGGAAAAAGAATGAGTAATATGTGATTCTGCATGCTCTATAGAGACTTAATAATTTTTGAAAATAAATTCTTGGTCTAAACAGTTTCACAGGTACTAAGAGAGAAATATATTGAGAGAAAATAACTCTTTAACATCTGTTAAATGGTTTTAAATGCAGTCATATCTGCTGAAAAGCTACAGCATCACACACTGGTTGAAAAGAAATTGTCTAACTAATGTTGGGCCTGGGGCAACATTACTCTCTCTTATTGAAAGTTGGATAAAGGTTAGTGGGTTTTTTTCTCTCCTGCTAGAAATAGCAAGAGCAACATTAACTCATGTTAGATCAAGTAATGAAAAAACAAGTTCTACTCTGGCAAATGGAAGGAAAGAAACATGGAAAATCAGAAAACAAAAGTATGGAGAGTGAAGTGGGAAAACAGAAACTGAAAAAGCAGTACTTTGTAAATTACTATTCTTTTTATCCAGTCTCTTGTCAACCTCTTCCTCCCTGCAATTAGTAGAGAGTTCTTTTCTTTTGTAATGGTATGTTTCTTCTTCAGTATAATTTCTCTTATCCATCTTCCATTCCAGCTTCTGCTAATCATCATGACTATTCCATTTGTAATTCTATGATCAATATCCTCTTACAGAATAGTATTTGCTCTTCTCCATATAGAGCTGATAAGAACTTAAAAATGAGTGGATCATAAAGCTAATTTTAAAGTGGAATTTTTACAAACATGCTATCATTCTCGTTCAGATGTTCTGAAACGAGGTGATGAAAGTTGAAAGATAACTGAGTTTCTGACCTTGTCATTGTTTCTGTATAGAAAGGATATAGAGGGGATTCATTTTCATTGAACTTTTAAAAGTTGTCTTCATTTTATTTAAAAATTTGTTATTTGGTTTGGGGTTTTTTAACATCACAGATTTCATCCTTGTTTTGGAAGACTCAGTAGATGGCTGAAGAAAAAGTAGGAAGCTGATTACATGAAGCAGAGAGGGAAAATGAAAGCTGTCGAAATACATTAAGCCACATTATTTCAGATCATGGCTGCTTTGTATTTTTTAACACAAATTAGATAAAAAACAAACTCTGCAAAAACACTCATAAGAAAAAGATGTCTCCATCACAACTGACGTAACCTTCCAACTCAAGTCATTTAAGGCTTTGGGGGAAAATATCATCCCTCTTTCTCTTACAGTACCGTTAAGGTAAAAAATTAAGATTTATGTTTAAGTCAAGCCTTTCTAAATAATAAAGATGAAAAACATTTAAAGAGGAAAAAATGTGAGGGAAAGAAAATATCTTTTTCCCCACTTCTTGCTTTATTTTGGGTTTTTTGAGCACCATAACTTTGGACTCTCAGGAACTAGGGAATATGTGTAGCAAGCATTCCCAAGAAAAGTGAACATTTGATGAATGCACTGGAAAATTACAAAAATCATCTGGATGACTGCACCTCACCTTGCTGATCTATTACTACTACTTTTTTACTATTTCTGTAGTTCATTTTGCCACATACCCTAATTTATCATGAAGAGGCTGAGCTCCTCAGTTGATCATATTTTCAGTTTCTGTACATTCTATGACCATAAGAAATTCACCTTGTTTTGAATTACTCAAAACTTAATCTAAACAAGCCCATTCTCCTTGGGTTTCCTCTTGACATTTTCTGAATTGCTGTTTCCACTGTGCATTAATTGACTCTATATTTGGTACCTGTGCCTGCATTTTGTTCATTTACCAAGGTCCATGCTTAAATCAGGCTTCTGCATCTATGACTTTAATCTACATCTACAGCCTTTATTAATCTATTGTGCTGTAACTTCTGTGCTGGATGTTAAACATCATCTCCAATTTGTCTTCTCTATTTTGTGCCACACCAAATAGATGAACAGTGTTTGAGAGTCTTGAATTTTGTTTTTCCCTTGCAAACATCACGCTGGTGAAGATCTACACCATAAACCAAATAAGTATTTGTGTCATTTACTTTCTGATGTGTCACGCCAATTA